GGCAATGCTGCCTCTAAATCGTGTACCGGTAGGCTACATTATTTTAATCACGACTTTATGACATAAATTTATTACTTTTTAATAAAATTATGTGTACGTGAGTTTTACTAATGATCAACAGAATAACTTTGATAAGACCGGATTAATACATAATAATAATTAATGGCGTTATTTATTTTCTCCTTCCTTAGAATGATGGCGCCAGAATATCTCCATGGCAACCTATACTGATGTTCGTTACAACTATTTTGTGTAGCAAGCTGTATTAAAATGTTTATATATTATTTTTAAGATGAATGTTTTTATTTATTTATTTTTTAATCCTGCGGTATGTCAGATGGAAAGTGACACGTATTTCTACGTGTTAATAATGACAGCATTCATTTAACTACACCAGTGCATATTCCAAAATGTGTGACTAGTCACAGTGTTTCGCTGCCGGGTGTATGAGTATTGCAAATAAGTCATACTTTTTTTTTTTTTTTTTAGTTTTGAGAGGCAAAGTAGTGCGAATAGTGAATCATATTAAAAGAAGAAATATTAAATATTTTTCTTATATTTTGAAGAAATGGTGTCCAAATTGGCAAAGCTTTAATTCAAAAACTGATCCCGTAACACACATGGCCGGAAATTGGTTGGTTCTGACGAGGTTCGGTGATTGTATTGTACAAAAGTTGATGGAAATAATACTTGACTTATAATATGCTTTTTTGTTGTTAAGACAGTAAGCAAAAGAAATTTTTTATCCAAATTGTGCACATTTCTTGATCATATTGATATATATAGCAAAACGGTATTTTTTAATATTCAACTAAAAATATACACTAACATGAAAATGGACAATATGATGTTTAAAACAGTATGTCTATAAAAAATTCAACCCTTAGTTTACTGGTAAAACTTAATTACACTGGCGCAAATTGGTGTATGTCTAAAAAAAGTGTATGGCGAACATACAAACTTTGTGAAGCACTGAATCACACAGAAGACTGAAGATTCAATGAAAGGGTACTAAATATAATATTACCCACGTTTTAATTACCCGGCATTTGAATTGGTTATTTCCCTTTATTCTGACTGGATTTTGTTCAAAAAATGATTTTTTTTTTTTTTTT